GTTAAGATAATAACTAAGGACATCAAGAATATTTTTCTTTTTTTCTATTTTTTTCTTCTAAAGATAGGATTTTATGAGTCTCTCGGATTCGCCCCAATGAAACATACTATAGTTTCGAATAGAGCGACAACGAAACACTAAATAAAATCCCTTCGGCGGAAACAGTACTGAGAGGATTATATATAGGCAATGTCTCAGCCTCACAATCCCTCAGAGTATTGCTGTTTTCACGAGGCATACCTAACTTTACTAAAAGTCTCATGTCGTTTATTTACTTTGATATTTTCACGATACTTAGAATTTACCTACGCGTTTATTTACTCTAAGGCGTTAATATCGCCTTAATAGACCGAATCTTACACTGCCGTTACAACAGTAAAGAGGGCGCGCCTGCTTTAGCGCGTTACTTATTTTAGTTGAATATGGTAACAGAGTGGTCAAGTTTAGTCCCAACTATAAAATAAGAGGAAAGCGGAAAGAGCCCCCCCTCCCCCTTTTTTTTTGGATTTTATTCGCCTGAAACAAATCTTCACTTGGAACCGCCTTAGGACAAAAAGATATTTTAGATAACCGATAGTACGCACCGAGAAGATCATGATGTCTCGCTGTGGGAATGCCATGTGTTTCCGGCATATAATCATTACGAAGTGAGTTTGGATAGTATAGCTGTCGTAGTTCCACACCGTTGTTTCTTAGAATGTCGTCTGCCTGCATCGATTTGTCATGCGTGCACGTAGATGTGCGACATGGCTAATTTCTCAATCGATGTTTTATTTGTCTTGGTAGGATTAATTAATGTTAGTCTCTCTGAGATCTTTTGATCTTATTGAAAAGTTGTCAGTACATTAAATTGTGGTCCTGCGTGTGAGATCACATTGATCTTCGGTTATGAATTACTGCCAAATTGTGATGTTACGGGCAAAACGTTTGCATAGTACACACTGCGGGTTTTGTGTGCTCCCTATATGTAGGCTAATCTCGATACGGCAACGGCTGAGTACAGTATGAGATTCACAATGTTTGTATTTTACAGTCATACGATATTCCTGAAGATCGCATGACCTGCAGTAGATTTCGGTTGAGTCTCAGGGATGATTTTCGTCCCAATACTGCATGAAATCTTTATAGTTATTTATTCACGAGAGTTTCACGAGAGGATGTCATGTTATGGGTAGTTGTTCTCTAGATCACAGTAGTATGTTTGTGCACCGAATATGAGAAGTGTAGTTGTTTTGGTTGCTAATCGCGACGCGATGTGTTGTGTTTTCTGTTCTGTCGCAAAATTTGTCCAACCGCTTGGTTTCTTGTCCAAAAATACCTTGGCTTTCTACTAATTGGAACTCCCAAAATCCAGTATATCTTGAACTACTTGTACAATGCTGCAGTATTGGCTAGTATTCATCAACTCTAGGTACAGCCAATCCGGCCCAGGCCACTGATAAAATACTTTCAAACGCTCGATAAATACCGACAGAAACTCATGGCACATAAGATAATTTACAATTCAACACGGCGTGTCATCCAGTAGGATTAAAATTCAATATCTTCAGCAACAGGTAACACAACATAGGTTGTCCAACCGAAACAATATAGTGTTATTTGGTTTTAAAACTACAGTACTTTGATCAGCACTACATTTCCTTCATATTTTGTACGTATTCCAGATTATAGATTACCTAAACATGTGCTTCTACTACGTCCGGAATCCACTATTTTACACGAGGTTTGGCCTTGCCTTCACTTTACAGCGACTTCAACTACTTCAGCCCTACAAGTGAGCATACCCATTCTAGTTTTTCTTCTCTCTCCTAGTAGAATGTGGTGACTTATTCTCGAGTGCGGACAAATTTTGATTCGTGCGTACCGTATGCAGACAGTTTCTTTAAATAGTACCAATGTATAATAATTGTACTCCACAGCACATCATAATCACGACAAAGGCTAGTGGCTTTAGTTTGATTTAGAGAATGTAATATACATCGTATTCATTTTTCTCCGAAGCATGAGTACTAAATTATATCTTAAAAACAATAAAGAAACATTTGTTTCAATATGTTCTCGACTACATTAATAAAACGAGTTGATCCTCATTATACTGACTCATGGACCTATTGGGTGGTTCCTTAACTTTCTGATGTATCGGGCTTGTGGTTCTAAGAAGATTAATTACGATAATGGGGTGGGACACCACACTAAAAGCTTCTATACTATTGTAGGGGGATGTGAAAGGGTAACTACTCCAAAGGTTCTGTATTTGAGCAAATTTCGAGCGAAATTTGAAATTTCACGGGACATAAAGAAGAAAACAATTCATTAAGTGAATTGTAAAAAATAAAGTTGGGATTTTGACTTGATACTCAACACGAAGTAATCTTAACCATAAAATAATAAGGGTAAATAGATGCTGAAAAGTAGAAAAGGAGCAGGAAGAAAAATCTGCATTAGAAAACTTTGCACAGGAAACACATCAAAATATCCTCCTACCGCACCTGAAGGTTCATTCAAAAGGTCAATATCATAAAGATTACATTGATGAGGATGTCAAATCTTCGGAAGTCAAGGATGTACGAGCGGCCACTTAAATAGAATACAAGAAGTGCCATAGGCCAGTGGTACCCAGTGTCTAAGACAACGAGAAGCATCAGCCAGCTTAAGGCAGGTACTGAATCTCCTACAAAAGAAACAGTTACAAAGGGTAGCCCATCTGACTAGGAGGAATATGAAAGATTCCTACGAGTTGGGCATTTTCGAGCAGGATGTGATTAATGACGTCCCAGACGAGTCTCGAAAAGAAGAAATCAGACCGTATTAAACACGATTTGTAAAGGCCGTACATGGAGAACACGGGGAAGAAATCTCTTTAGTACACCTGGTGAATTATAACTGAGCAGATTGGGAACGTGGATCACGTGACTCAATATCTGATAACGGAATCAGAAGCTGAGTATAGACCAGTAGAACGCTTACAAGGAGGTCGGAAATCATAAGTATGTGGATAGTTCGGTCTTCTCTTCACGGATTCCCACTAATAAGTTCAGTCTTGCAGCTGAATGTGCTAGTGGCTTTTCTTTCACCACCCACTTCGGCTGCAATTAGATACTATGCTTTCGTATGAGAGATTTTGCTTTGAGGATTGAATGCAGACGCGTATAACCTGACTCTCTCGCAGATGAATAAAGTTCTATTATACACTCGCATCAAAAGCTACTGACCTTGGATATCTATTTATGGTAAAAATATCCATCACGTGTTTTTACAGATAGCTTATCAACAGTGTAGCTTTTTTTTTGCATTCCCTACAGGGATGAGGCTCATATAGTTAATTTGTCTTCCGTATGTGCGAAATAGAGGAGTATGTAGTAATTAGATATTTTAAGCCATTCTGTACATCCTGGAGCCCAATATGATCGTGGCTTCTCACTGTACTTTTTATGTCTCCTTGAATGTGCTTAATTACTTTTGAGGAGGGAATATTATGATGTCTAGCATGTATCTAAATGTTATTCGAATCCCGATCTCGCCAGAAAAGCCATGTCTGATTGATATGTCAGGATATTATTTCAGTCGAATGACCGTTTCCCATTTTTCTTTGCATTCCCTATAGGGATGAGGTTCATAAAGTTAATTTGCCATCCCTATGTGCGAAATAGAGGAGTAATAACTAGGCGTTTCAAACCCTTCAATCCTGAAGCCCAATTTGACCTTTGCTTCTCATTGTACTATTTATGTCTCCTTGAATGTGCTTAAATACTTTCGAGGAGGGAATATTATGATGTATAGCATGTAGCTAAATGTTATTCGAATCCCAATCTTGCCAGAAACCCATGACGGATTAATATGTCAGGATATTGTTTTGGTCGAATGACCGTTTTTCACAGTACCACTGTATTGTACTATGCAGTACATGGATATACCTCTAGATTTTGCGAGATGAAATAATATGACTTAGTAGGAGTTGGTTATAGGCAGTGTCGTAAAATAGCTACAGTTTTTACGACTTCGTATGACTACATTTTTTTACCCATTTTAATTTGATGCAACCAAAAAGAATCTCGAAAAATACTGGCAATTCGTGTAAACGTGTTTGTTTCGCTGCCTGGTCGTATGATTACTTTGTGACAACACATTTAAATACTTACATAAGCACACCTACCTACTTCAAATTTACAATATCAGGACATTCCACTGCTGCCAATTAAGGAGCGAATAATTTTGCCTATTGCAGATATTTAAAGAGCTATGACACTGTTACCCGTAGGTTCGCCCAGTTCACAAATTTAAAAAGGATGATGGACGAAAAAATATCTACTGGAAATCAATCCTGATGATATGTGTCGTTACTTCAACTAGTAAGTCTATGGTGTGGAAGTTCTAGACCCTAAAGATAGAGTCACAAATAGAAGAGCTCATGGTATTTTCTTTGCTAAAACGACTATATTTTAGTTTATGCCTCGCTGCATTTTGGAGTGGGAACCCGTTGATACCAAGGACAACCCAAAAAAAGTAACTAGGGCTAAACCAGTTGATGTAATTAATAACACAATATGAACGGCGAGGTGAAGGGAAAGTAGGTTTTTAGAAACGACCACCATAGTGCGACGAGTTTATAAGCAGACCAAAAATTAATCTGGAGAATGAAAGCTTTCTAGATGCTTCTCTTCAAGGTCTATGCCTCTGGACATTTCAACTTGTATTCCGTGTAAGCGATGAATTTTGAATACATTGAGTGGAAACATGTCTCTGAAATTCCTAATGCACTTTCGTTGAAGTGGTCTGTAGTAAGAATACAAGAAATAAGAGTCATGTATCACGACAAGTGGTGCTTGGATCAATGAAAACCGTTGTGTGAACTAGCTGGATTGACTGTAAACTCAATTGTGCGTTTAGAGCTTCAGAATGGTGCTTCTAATCTACACTTTAAATGAATGTCTGAAATGTATATTTATATATATATATATATATTATTGCGCATTCTCCGCGATCACATAGAAATCAAATTTCGTTTATTCATCTGCCCATGCCAGGCAAAACAATTTCGTCATCACATGCTGCAATATTGTACAGACACCCCGCATTCTATACACTTCTTCTCCGACATGTCTGTCGCTGCATCATGCTTTGGCGGCCCCCACTCGTGCACATGACGCTCCACTGTGTGTATCTTGGCCAGAGTTGTGCGCTTCAGATCTATAGTTCATAAGTATAAGGCCATATTTAATAATACATGTCAGCAAAACTGTCGCTTGAACAATAAGTTTACTAGCGATTAACGTTTACGATTTCACAGAAGCCGAGTACAACGTAATGAAATTAAAACTTGGGCGCAGATAGTGACACGACTGAGTGCGATAATTTCGTATTTTGACAGCTTCATGTTACATAGCCCGAAAAGGTATGCGCACACTCAGAACTTGTAAAGCGTCACAGCAGCAGCCTATCACCGACTGGTAGACCCTTCTTTTTTTTTTTTGCAAAAACACAGACACCCTCCAACATACTGTCATACACTCTCATAGGAAAACAAGTCGGCAATTGATACAGTGTATATAAATCGAACAACACAGCTACATATGTCTGCACCAAAGGAACGAAAGCAGAGCATTCGCTATTCACCTTGCACTTTTTTCTGATACTTCTGCTTCTGGCCTATAATCTTTGTTTCTTGACGTTTTTCAATCTCTAGATCGAGCCCTACCTCACCACCGAATCGTTTGAATGAGATCTCTTCTACCTGAAGCATAGCAAAGTAAAACAATGCTTCGTGAACACACACCCCAAAGAGTGTGTAATGCACTGCGGCACACACACACACACACCTGCTCTACAGTGGGGAAGATACATAAATCAATAACATCTCTCAAATTACTGCAGCCGTAAGTAACAGACCAGCAACAAAACAAACCTTCACGATTGTTCCTATGCTATTATACGAATGTCCCACGTCATGTGCCAACTGAGCGGCGTAAGATTACTAACTGGGGTCGCACGTTAAACAGGTCCACAAACATTCAACCCAGTAGAGCTGAGACGCTCAATACGTTAAATAGGTCCACAAACACTCGATAAACACGTTGATTAGGTTCACAGACATTCAATACAACAGAGCTGGGACTAAGACACTCAATACACATATCTCTGCCACTACACAGCCAGTTTCAATGTTGTGGTAGCCAAATCTCTAAACGCTCAGACAAATTGACGTACGAAACGAAGCGATGTATAACCATCTGACGTGAACGCGCACCAAAATCAATACAATCATTATGTAATATTCAGGTATTCACATGATAATTCAGAAGCCACCGCTATATATATATATATTTATATATATATATATATATATAATATGTATACATATACATATACATATATATATATACATATATATATATATATATATATATATATATATAAATTTACACACCATACTTGATTACGGATAAATAGCATTGCGGCTAGTTGTCGGGGATTGACACATTGCTCTTGATTGTCTTGAATGAATTGGCTCAGAGCAGGGCAAGTAAGTGTGGATGCTATGATAAGACACAACAGGTAACGTGCTAGTAACATACGTGACTAGCGATCGTTCACGAATCTAAACCCTAAACCCTAAAAACTTAAGAATGCAAAGTATCAGTTCCACGAATTTATAAAACGAATTTATAAATAACTGTTTCGGCAGCAACAGTACAAGTGCTTATATAACACGTACATTCTATACACCCCAGAAAGACCTACCACTCCAGCAACAGAGACCCACCCACCATACGACTACGACTGAATTACAACACACAACGCAAGAGGTATATAACAGAAGCCAGGCGTAGGCACGTGTCTTGCTAGCGCACAAGTCCATGCGAAACAAAGACAGGTGGCTATTAGCCCTGGCAGGGATAATACACTACCCCCAACTCACAAGCAACTGCATGTCATACTCCTTCCTCTCTGCGGCCAGCCCTCCGAGTGAGTCAGCCACCCTCTTTCTCGAGACGAAGGAAACAACACAGAAAGAACATCTGTGTACAATACATTGAGGTCACTACTGCGCGGAGGTATAGGGAGTGGTCTGTTCGATACGGAACACAGCTGTACCTGTAATCGCGAGTACAGCTTCATCGGCGCAAAATGGCTACCCCCGGGATTGGCCATTGTAACGAAGCGTAGACTGTAATCTCTATTTTCTAAGTCGCCGTCCGTCAATAGATACTCCTGCGGATAATCAACATTGAAGTATCACTAAGCATCGCGCATAAGCAGTTTGCGAGAACACGTGGACACCAATGTCTGTCGTTTCGGGTGTATTTCACAGGTGCTACATAACATACTTGTGCTCGTATCTGAAACGAGGCTTTCACAGATACTGTATACTACGTCGTCGTGCTGCAGAATATGTCAACCGTGATATGCAGCGGTTCTGAAAGATTGGCAGGAATGTAGAACGAATAGCGCACGGACCAAATCCTGATTTCACATCCTGATTTAGCATGCCGAATGATCACTTGTACAATGTTTACGCTTCATGATATTTCTTACAAATAAGCACATAGGTACAAATCTTCATTCGTCACACCAATGTCTCGAGCTCTACCTGTGCCATCCCTACTATACTACCGCTAACCCCGTGGTGCACATACAACTCGCATGTATCTAATTGGGGGCATTAGAGGGCCGCTTACACATTTTGACAGTTTGCGACGAACGAGAAAGAAAGACCGCTCAATGATAGCCAAATATTTAACTATTATTAGTGTGCATGTGTTGACTACCCGTATTCCAGGTCTGCAGGTTTGTTCTTTTCCTGTCTGATGGGAGCTACCAGAACAACATACAATTTAAGCGGATATATACGGCCTAATACACGAGTTGTACATAGCGAATAAGTGTCGTTGCTATGTAATCGACACAGTGATAAGAATGAACGTGTATGTGTGGTATACATGCCGGTACACATTGACGCATGTGTATGCAGGCAGGTATATAAGTACTTATACGATGATCACGAGTTGATAGTGGATAGCAATAGGCCTCTCACTCGGTTGAATCAGACTATCAGACTATGTCTACAGCATACACACTTAACCAGACAATATCCGGAGCATCGCACTATGTGGACCCACCACCAACGAGAACCCGTACATACGAGCACAGTAACAATGAGACAACGGTTATTATCAACCCCAAGGTACTCAGAAGACCTACACAATACGTAACGAGTCCATGTACATTGAACACCGACTATTAAAGGACACACCTTCTTCGCCGTTGTCTTCGTAACGAGTCCATATACATTGAATACCGACTATTAAAGGACACACCTTCTTCGCCGTTGTCTTGGTAACAAGTCCATATACATCGTCTTTGGCCTTGTCGATGCGTTTGCACTGGTCGCACACGTTGATTCCGAAATTCTTCTCCAAGTATGAGGTGTAGAAAACCTTCCCACAGTCCTTGCATGTCTTCCGCACGTCATCGTATTGGTCTGCATACATGATCAGGTGCATTAGATGGGGTTGTTTGCATTAGACACATAGACTACATTAGTTTCGTATTTTATAAGATCAGGTACTTTAATTGGGTTTAGGCTTTTAGTTGGGGTTGTGGACTACATACAAGGATGACTCTATAAAACGCAAACATGTATAGCCACTGGAATTGTGTTAGATTATTGTATTTTTGTTTTTCCGCATAGATTGCGATACCAACCGTGACTGAAATGCGAAAACTCCATTCATCTGGCTAGGGTGAGTGAGTGAGTGAGTGAGTGAGTGAGTGAGTGAGTGCATGCGTGCGTGTGCAAGTGTATGTGTATGTGCGCATGCGCTAAGATCACAAAAATCTCACACACTACACAACGGCCTTCCCAACAGCAATATCTCAATGCACACAATCATCGGCATTGCAGTACCTCACAAAGCATATCTGTGTGTGCTTACAAACATTGTCACGGCACATACAATATAGCAAGCATGGCTGTACACCTATCCAGGCCAATCCAAGTAGTATGGACGACAACCAAAACGACGACTCTGTGCGCACACTACACTGAGGCACCTCATCAAATATCTGCGTACCCACAGATATCAACATGCATCAACATACTTTCTCATACAGCTACTACTGAGTCAAAACATAGCTGTATGATAAAACAACACACACACCTAGCGTATCTCGGTCCTTCCTCCTCCTGGGTTGTAGCTTCGCGTCCGTCTCGGCTATCTCCCGCTCGTTGGGCATCAGAAAACCCGCATTGGTGTCTATCCGGGATCTCGGGGCCTTGGCATTCGCCCCTTTCTTCTCACCATCACCATGGTTACTACTAGTACTATTAGTATAACTGACCTGTTGTGCTTTCAACCGCTTAGCCTTCTCCTTCTCCCGCTCGGCGTCGTTCTCGTTCATTGCTGCTAAGTCCCAGAAGTCTGCGTCGTCCATCAGTCCATCCAGGTCATCGTTCCATCCCCGCTTATTGTTACTATTTTTACTACTACTATTATTATGCTTATTATTATCATTATTAACATTATTGTTATTATTACTAATATTGGTAATATTATTTGTATTCGTATCATTACCGTTTATACTTGCATGCACAACCCCGCCACCATCAGTAACACCCATAACCGGCTTCCTGCCAGAAACTACATCGATTTCCCTTCTATCGTGATTGCCTCCATTTGCATTCCTATCTGAACCTATGCTTGTTTTTCCGCCCTTCAAGTCGATTGGCATGTTGCCACTGGGACCGATATAATCTATCTCCTCCCTTGCGTCCATCAAATGTCTCGTGCGCAGAATACTACCATTCCTATTGTTTCCCTCTGCAGATTTCCTTTCAGCCATTAGCTTTAACCTAGCATCCCGTTTCTTCTTTGCTTCTGCCTTCTTACTCTCAATCAGCGCCTTCTGCACCGCTCCCAAGGTCGACATTGCAACTGAGTCGGACCAGCAGCAGGTGTAATAGGATAAGCTGGACAATAGACGACCGAGGTATGGTATACTCTGAGAGACCGGTACACGATAGTAAATGACAGGTGATGGTGCAGTCTAGTAAGAGAGTCCTTGTGAAGGTACATTAGTGTATACCTATCAGTGCATACCTCTATGCATACATACCTATGTATAATATTTACATTTTTTAAACAATTATAGAGTGGAATCGAAAAAAAAAACAAAAAAACAGAATATCATGAAATCGACAAGACATTTTATTTATTGATGACTCATGTGACGCTCATTCGGTCATTCCTATTTACATTCGGTTTCATAATAAAATAAATCATAGCCTTCGACCTTTTTTTAGAAGGCTATGAATAGGCCTAAATATATTTTCTTTTTGGGTATAAATGTACAATGTATATTTATACATATTCGCCCGCCGTTTTTGATCGTGCTATTTTTAGCATTTTCAAAATATACCAAGACACTTGAGACTTAAATTTAGAACAATGTTTATTCAGGATGTTGTAAACTAACAAGATGGTAACTGCCCGATAGAACGAACGTTACTTTGGGAGGACTACATAGTTACAAACAACATCGTTTATTTGTCGTCCAGGCCAGTAATCTCAGGGCAGACAAAGTCACAGAAGTGACATCCAATGGACAAGAAATTTGACGCCAAAGATAAGAAATCGCCCGACCAACTACATAGTACATACCACAAACAAAGATTGCGCCCGACATTAAAATATATTCTCACTCTCTATTGATACATTCTAATATTATACAATAAATATTTATGATTATATATTCGGAACGATTGAGTCTTTACCGGGTAGTTTGAGTCTATTTCGTAGCTTACCTCTATATCCATCATGACTAGAGTTGAGATTTTTACGTCGTCTGTGTCTGGAAATCGAAAGGTATGTGAGCGCCTTAGAACATCTCGGAAATTCCTTCAGCACAAGTGAGCGCAGGTGGCACCACGCGTGTGCTGTAGTAAACTGTGTGCGGTCATCACGTCCTAAATTGATCAATACCATATGGAGGTGTGATTAAACATGCTGATCTTATATTGATAGGTAGGTTTTCAACGACAGCTATATATATATATATATATATATATATATATATATATATATATATATATATATATATATATATACACACACACACACACACACACACACACACACACACACACACA